GAGGAGGAGGAGATAGAGAGACACACAAATGAAATAACTGCATCAATCACCTAGTGCATAAACAGAGTAATACACACATAATGACGCAGAAATTTATCTAGTGGGGAAACTATTAACAAAACAACAACACAGAGATAATGATGTTAACTTAAAATCTCCACCAGTCATAATATATCAAAAACGTTACTTGTTCTTAGTAGTTATTTGTGTTTTTTCGGCACTCCAACCCAGTGATAACAAAGTTAATTCATTAGACAGTCACGCCTACCTTGATCATGTACGTCGTTATTCATAAAAAACGTGTTAGGGGGTGGGTTTCATATGCTTCAGTATTTATCAGAATGGCAAAATTAATGAATTATCTAACACGAAAATAAATTGTACTGGTTTCAATATCACACTTGAGGAATAAATTTCTATCAGCATTTATGATTCAAATAACATATGGATCGAGTAAAGTCTTCGCTTGATTTTTCTTAGCATGACAGATTTCTACTAGAAAGTGTGTGTATAAATTCTCTTCATGACTTCGCATATGTTAGTTTACACCGTCTCTGGCGTAGATGTGATATCCGGTCGGATATCGACCAAAGGACGAGTGTACTGCTCATCAGTCCACTCCGTCAATCTTTATGGCTGTGAGACCTGGCCACTGAGAGTGGAAGACATGAAAAGGCTGGTAAGCTGTCTTTGATCATAGGTGCCAGCGTTCTATCTCCCGTGTGAAGTGGTATAATAAGGTGAGCAATATTGAGGTTAGGGGTCGATCGAGTGCTAGGTAAGGAGGGGAAATCAATCGACGAGGCTGTGAAATTACATCGACTGAGATGGTTAGGCCATGTGCTACTTACTTGCTTTACTTTACTTCGGCTATCTCCTACGGAGGATGAGCCGGCTTCATGAACATCTCGAATCATCGCTGCCCAGGCGCGGCGATCTGATGCAAGGTTTTGCGACAGGGTTATCCAATTCTTGTTCCACAGACGGAGTCCGTAAACGGTTTGTAGCTCCAGGCACTCCATATCAGCCTTGACTGTACCAAGCCATGTTTTCAGCTGTCCACCCCTGCGACATCGCCAAGATGGAAATGGTGAGGGATTTAGAACTGATTTGACCAGATCGTCATCTGGTCGGCGCAGAACATGGCCAAACCATGTAATACGTATTCCTAGTCATCGCCTTCCTCGACAATCGGCAATGTTAGCTGACATACAGTCAGTCTAGAAAAAAGCTAGCGGAGGTCAAACAAAAGCATGGCTTCCTCAGTCAATGAAATCCACAACAGTTAGTTTAAGCTAGCCACGTAGGAAGGTGTAGACTTCCTGACTCGTTGGGGTTCTCGGGACGGTGAAAACCAATGGTTAGAGACAATCGGTGATATGGCTCAAAACCGTTCTCAGTGGCTGGCTGGTGTAGATGCATCCACTCCTTGTGATTTATGATTTCCAATGAAACTATATTGTTCTTCGTTATTACTACTCCTTTGTCTCACACCTCTGTTTACTGTCTCTATTATGCATTTCTTCTACTTCCTTCTGTTGCTTTGTGTGCTACATGGAGGGAGTGTGGCGACTTGAACTGGTGCACATCAGTGCAAAGTTCTATGTCGGAAAAACAGACTTCATAACTTCACTCTGTATTAGCCTTTATTTACTGATGCGCACAATATATACGGTGAACAATTTATTATTACTATTATTATTATTCGCTTGAGTTCCGAGTGGAGCATAAAACTTAAACAGCACATCTCTATTTTACTCTGTCGCTTGCAGTTTTTTGTGGCTGGTTGCACGATTCACCCCACCTAGTTTACTGGCCAATCCATAAGCCCTGAGAAAGATGGAAAGCTGACCCTACACACCCCGGAAGATCAGTGCAATTGGTACAGAAGCTTCAAAGCGCAAAAAAAAGAAAACGATGGACAGTAGTTAATTATGAACACTAATAAGCAACAACTAACACCTTTTGTACAAAAGGTTACTCTCATAGCTCATTTGTTTAGCCGGTAACATCTAGTGTATGAAACGATAATGCCGGAGTGGAGTCACAGTGATAATGAAGTAGTTAATTAAGATCAATGCACAGTCGATTGGGGAGTGTCTCCAATAAGACGAAGCCGCCAACAAATAAACATCACAAAAAGAAATATTAGTCATTTACTCCTTTACTCCGCTAAGCCAGAAATAATACTGGAAAAGAGGAAAGGTTAGGCATGAGGCTAGCAACCCATCCTGTAAAAGAAACACTGCTATAGAAACTTCAACCCACTAGTTTGAAGCCCTATGTTCCACTGGGCAAGGTGAAGGAAAAAAAGGCAGTAAAAGAAAACATGTTAATAAACGTGGGTTATAAGCCATAATGATGTTGGAAACGCATTAATGTAGGAAAAAAGAAACTGTTGTTAAGAGCATAAACAATAGAAATGAAAAGGGATGTCCAACTGTCAAACGATATCTATATAAGGTGGTAAAGATTAATTTTCTACCATTTTGGTTCTTTATCACACTGCAAAGTAACAGTATCATTTACTGACTGATTTGGCAAATACAACTGACAGCCTGCCATTAAATCATTTCGAAATGATGACGAACATGTATTAAAAGTATGGTCTGGAAATCCCGCTAGTTCTATTCTCTCAAGTGATATTTTTACTGGTGAGGTTTTGAATGCGTAAACCAAATAAAAAACAAAGGAAAGTATCGGATTAATAATCAGCCGGGTGGAATAGATTTGTTTAAAGGCGTATGAGACGGTCATAGATGATAATTAAGATGTTCTTACAAGTTCTACACTAAAACGATACTTCCACCACATTACGGTTGTATTAGGATTGAATTTTTCGATTATATTTTTTGCATATCTACTACAGTGAGTGAAAGGTACCTTTAGGAACAGAATATGAAGATTTAAGCGTTAAAATTATTGAAAAGAATTGATCAGAAATGTTGAATTTATTGACTTTTAGATATAATGTGATACTGGTCATAGGTTTCTGATGGCAGTTAACTCGTAGTAATATTGCCATTTCAAAACTCAAAAGAACTTTAGTTACCATTTATAATTTGAGACCTACTATGGTCGTAATTCAATGTTCATGAGACATTTACACAGTACAGTTCAATATAGCATTGATTCAAATCAGAATTATTGAGCAGTTAATGTCTGAATTTACCTCTGGGTAGTAAAGTGATAGACATACATCCCTTATGAGTTTTAACCATGAAACGAAGACAACCTTTACACTGAATACTAACATAATGTTGCTAACTGTTTACAGTAAGTTAAGTTAATCAATCATTTTTGGAGATATTTGCACTGCTATCACTCAGGTAATATAATATATTCATTAGACATTAAATCATTAAATCAAAAACATCTCATGTTGTGTACATTAGCAAATGATGAGTAATTCAACACAAAACCCCAGCTTAGTTAAATTAATACTTGTAGTGCTTAATACCACAATCTGACAAAATAGTTTAAGCGATCAGCGATGACATCGCCTGGAAATTTGAAGGTTTTGAAATCATCTTTTTTATAATGAATTGGAAATTACAGTACATTATTTTTTTAAAGCAAACTTCATTCACGACCTTGAGAAAGTTCATATCACCTATAAGGGAAGTTGGTTGGCATCACGGTTCAGAAGTTTAAGACACGACCAAATTTCCATAAGGAATGAATGATGTATACGAATTGGCAGACCGATTATAGGAGTTGTTTGGTCCGATTTGCAAATATTTTTATACAACCACATAGCTAATTCATTCATAAAACAATGAGTCATATACGGACCTTCTAATTCTGTGTACAGTAACATGTGATGCATTAGTATAGAGTATGCTAACTCTATTTATTGTCTATTCCCCCATACATGTGACAATAACTAAATGTACGTTTATTAATGTGTGGATGTCTGAGTTTGCTTTAGGATTATTTTTTTAAAAATCTGTGCATTGTGTGATGATTCATAATATGCGTACATATGTTTGCGGTTTCTGAATTGTAGATATCCTGTTAATACAACATTACCTAGTACAATCCGTGGAGCTTTTGTTTGATTCTGGATATGAGCTTGAGCTAGTAATAGTCAAGGTAAATCACTTCAGTCTGTGTGGAGGTCAACATCACTCATCATCAAAAATAAGATCCAGATTTTCAACTCCAATGTAAAGTCAGTCAGTGCTACTATACGGATCAGAGACTCGCACTACGCGTCATAAAGAGCATTTCAAACAAATTTCAGACCTTCATAAACAGTTGACTTTGCTCAATACCAATCAAGATCAGATGGCTGGTCAGAAAAGATCAGCGACAGAGATCTCTGGGAGCGAACCAACCAGGAACCGATTGCGAAACAAATAGGCAGGAAGAAATGGTGATGGATTGGCTGGCCATACGCTGAGGAAACCATCAAGTGACATCACTAGACAAGCCATTGCTCGAGTGGAACCAGAAAGGGGAGCGGGCGGCGAGTTGGTTGTCAATGCAAGGGTGACTTGGAGGAGGTCATGTGAAGAGGAAATGAAAGCATGTGGGAAGACTCGGAGCGGGGTGAAAAAGTTGGCAGAAAACAGAAGGCAATGGAGACGCGCGGCTGAAGCCCTATGTTCCTCTAGGAATTAAAAGATATAGTAATAATAATAATAATAATAAATCACTTCAAAACAGCACAGTATTTTTTCAGTAGTTGTGATGATGTGATATCCACTAGAGAATTACTGAAAGCTAGTGTTTATCTAGAATAGTTTTACTCAATTTGAAATTTAAAGATTTCATATGAGGTTGACCGTGCTCACCATAACAAAACATTAAACGTAGAGTGGAACAAGTTATCAGTGCATTTTAAATATCAATCTTTGCCGATAAATGCAGCAAATTTATTGGAGAGCAACGCGATACGGTTGAATCACGCTTAGAAAGCAGGAACTTTCAATTATATACAGAAAGATAATATGACGAACACGAAATTAAAGACGGATATATATATATTTGCTTACCTGCACCAGATCTGGCACGATTTAAGCATGCTAACTCTTCCCAACTATCAGTTTCAGGATTGTAACGTTCAACTGTATTCAGGCGTTTTTCACCGTCGAAACCGCCAACAGCATATAACAAACTAAGAAATATTTAAGAATAAAAAAATTAGATAATACTCTTGGGAAAAAATACATCAAGCTTTAAATGTTGCTCATTCTACAGAAATACACACCTTTAACTTGAAAACATACAGTCGTGATCACCAAATGACACACACATTTGAATGAACAATATCTGTTAACATAGATACTTGTTGTTGTTGTTGCTATTGTGGCTTAAAGAAACTCAGAAAACCCGAGTTTCTATTTACTGTTTTCAGAAAAAGACTATGATGCTTTTCCACAAACAATCAATAAAAAAATCCATCCAGCTCAAGTGTACTTGTGTGTTATACTACTGACTTTCTAAAGTAGTAGTAGTAGTAGCAGTAGTGACATAATCAAATTAAAAGCAGTTGACAAATAGAGTTGGGGGCATTGCAAAAAAAAGAAAAAAAAACAACAATAAATAAATCGTATCAAGAACAATTGGTTTGAATACTTTAAACAATTTTCGCGATTGAATTATAACCGGAAAGTAAGGGAGAATGAAGAGAGAACAAATACAGACTTAATGATTTTTTCCTCCGATAAAAACAAGAAAATGAAAGTGTTTGTTTACCAACAACTATTATACATACTACTTATAACATGATGCTAGAACTGCAGCTGTCAAAGCTAATAATTTTAATGCTCACACGTTCGCAGATAGAATTGTATCTAATTAAAACAACTTATTTCAAAATGCATACATTGATCATATGAACAAGTGCTTGCATTCAATGGTAATCACAATGCTAATTGTGATGGTTGCTCTTGAAATGAGGTAGGTATCATTCTCAGCTCTAAATATGAGAATGTTATGATAATCTATTTCTAAAGTTGGCCGAATGACTTTGGTGTAGAGTAAACAGAATGGCACGTATCTAGGTGATAAAACGCTAGACCAGACATTGAGAGTTAGCGAGAAGCTTTCCTTCACCCCACCTGAAATCCAAACCCCTATCATCATTTGGTGCCAAACTGAAAGGCTTTACAATAATGTTAGTTAAGTCGATACTGGGTCCGTGTCAACTGTACTGTTATTGTTTAAGATGATAGATCATAGCAACTCAACATCCAATAATCATATTGTGTAACAGAAGTGTCGAAAAACAGGAATTTTGAAGTAAGATAGCTAATTCCTCCAATAGCAACAGAAGAAACGCAAAAAGACTCACCGATTAAGTACAGCAACTCCTAGTCCAATCCTGCGGCTATGCATAGAAGCTATAGGTATCCATTGATCCATGTCTGGGTCGTATCTAAACAAAAATTAGTAATAAATATTATTCTACAACGGCAACAAAAACAAAGAAAAAACAGAATCAACGAAATCAAACAGTGATAACTTTAAGCAGGAATAAACTATAGGCTGAACCTGTTGCACGAAGACCAACGACTATACACACAAAATTGTACAAAATTTGGTGGTGCCGAATGGGTTCGGAAACAATACACAACAATTGATAATCAGAACTCTACATCAATGAGCTGCAACTTTCAGTAGAATCAGCGACAGTAATTCACTAAGAGTAACCACCTTCACCTGCCTCTGAAACAAGATTACAGCTGAGACAAAAATGCAAAATTATTGATGCTACGTAGTCTGATTACAGTTTTGTTCTCACATCCACTTTTTCGAGAAATTGTGCGTATGTGACTGGTTACCAGTGGGTTTGAGTTCAGAATTTATTTAAAAGTGTAGAAATGATTTACTGTTCACTAAGACAGTTGTTTTCCTCTCTGATAGCTGACTTCTTCATGATGTTTTATTCCCCAAATGCTTTCTGATGATACTAATAATTGGTCTGCAAGTTTTTAGGGTTATTTAAATACCTATTTGGAACTTGCTTATTAGAATTTTTTTTAATCATGAGGAGCTGGAAGTTTTACAACATGCACAGCTCATTTCTTTTCTCCGTACTTATTTTTTCCTTCACGTTCCCCAGTGGAACATAGGGCTTCAAGCTAGTGGCTTGAAGTTTATTTATTATTTTTTTTTTATTTTGATTTACAGCTTGATTCCACACCGTATTTTTGGTACAAGTATGGAATTTTCAGCATGGATATCGGTAGCCCAAATTTTGCAGGCCGACCATAGATATCAGGTGTGTGCCGGTAGGGGATCGAACCTCGGACCATGTGCATGGTCGGCGAGAGTCCTAACCACTGTAGCAGTGCTTATTTTTACAGGATGGGGTTGCTAGCCTCATACCAAACCTTTCCTCCTTACCAGAATTATTTCTGGCTTAGCGAGGTAAAGGAGTGAGTCGGCCGGGTATCGAACCCCGGACCATGTGCATGGTTAGCGAGAGTTCTAACTGCTGTGACACCGATGCACTTTCTCCGTACTAGCGTAATCCTATTGAAGAAAAATAGCTCATTAAAAAATAAAATGAATAATAATAGTAGTAGTAATAATAGTAACGTATCAGATATTTATGATGATTGTTAAACTATTGATCAATGTAATATTTTTGGTACATGAAGTTGTGTGCGCAAACAGTGAAGAAGGTAAGCCAATAGACTGCAACCAAGTGGCTGAATGCTAGTGTGCATATTAGGAGACCTAACAACTCTAGGTTTCTAACTGTTGGGTAGTTTACAACTTCAGCCGCGTTTCTGTTCACTGGTCACCAGTTCTCTAGATCATTTTGGATACATTAAAAAAAACACTATTAGATACACAGCTTTCAGCCTACTCAATTTTTAAATTAAAATTAAATCAAAGAATAGAGTTGAGTGGCTCAAATGACTGACCACATAGTTCAGAGGATTGATATCAGTTGGCTTTTAGCACACCTGACGTGTTTCATAGCTTTGTAAATAAATTTAGAAAGCTCATTTTTCCCTGGCAATTCTACCACTTTGGTGTAGAAACGTGGTTTTCAAAAAAGAAAATATTGTAAGATAGACATCACAAGTACTATTATTTAATTTAATTATTTACAAAACAATAATAGGGTGTTTTTGACACGACAGATATGATAAAGAATATAGTAGACTATCGGATACGTGCAAGTATAGCGTATAAATGTGAACGTAGGTTACTTATCTCCTTTTTTTCATAGATCTTAATTTCAACATCACAAGAATACACTTTGTGTTACATTGTGATTATATTTTTCGCAAAGCATAATTACTGTTGTAATTAATAATTAGTATGCCAATAGTAATGTAGTGTTTGTGCTGAATAGCATGTTAGTCTAGCTAGCCTGTATTTAAATGCTAGATTCATACATAAGTGAAGTGTCCAAGGCCATCTGCATTTCGCCAAACAGATAAACACAGGCGACTTCACACTATAGCATAGTCAAACAACGTACACACTACAGTGGAACATAATTCGACTAAATGGCTAAAACGCTGATAAGAAATTATCATTAAAAAGCAGAGTAAAACAAAAATTTATGAAGGATAGTTGGTAAGACAAAAAAGATGTTAAAAGGAATGAAAAAATGAGTCGCAGACAATTGAACACCTATACACACATGAAATATAGTTTGGCCAGAGGTTTCACCATGAAACTGTCCAGACAACCAGACAGACTGACTTAAGTAAACATTATGGAATCAACAAAAATATTTTTAAGAGTGATAACCAGTATCCAATATATATATATATATATATATTTGTCGCAATTTCACTTTCTTTGCACTAGGCACTTAGGTGGCAGGACCTTGTAAAGTAATAAAAGCATACATGCATAATCTATTGGAGTGAACTACGGCTTCTACGATGAGTTACTTCAAATCTATGATATTTATTAAGGCATTGAACAAAACAATCCAATATTTTTAAAAATACTACGCATACTTGAGAAGTGAAAGACAAATACAGACATAATAAGTGGTTAAAACGCTCCATTTCTATAATCGCATTTCTAGCTTAAAGCTGGTCACTCCATCTACTTCGGTTTGAACAATCTGGTAGTATCATAAACTCTTACATAACATGTGGTTTATACTACTGGTACTAGGTAGCTGGGTTGCATAATTCCTTTATTTTACTTGAAACAAATAGCAGTTAATATGCCTTTATATCCTTTCATCTTGTTTAATAGTGACTATACAATTTAAATGTTACATAATTTCTCCATGGTTTCGTACGCCATAAACCGATCGACTCTTAGATGAAATAATGCATCAATTTACTAGTGTTGTACTACGTTACTAACACTGTTGCTTCCTTGAGCAGATTGGTGGACTGAACATATCAATGATAACTAAGAAATATAATATTAGATTATTGGTATTATAATTCCACTACAACATTGTTATTCCTTACAGTTAGCGCTGGACACATACAGTTTAAAGTCACAAACAGCCTAAGAAAGCACAGATGAACTGGTTTGTTTCTAAAGTCAACAGTATGCAGCATACAGCAAGGCCATTCAAATACATTGGGATAGTTGAGTCAGAAATTTAAGTCGCTCATAATTTCATGTATCTGAGCTACGTAGTCGGCCGCATCAGTCGTCTAGGAAGTATTGAAACCAGCTTGAAACCAGGTAAGTAGAGCGGGATTCGGACCTACGACCGGTTGGTGGAAAAACTAAAGTTAAAGCCAGTGAGCTACTGCTTCGTTAGGCACAACGCCACCCAAATATCTTCATTGAAATAGTAGTATAAAAATAGAATAAACAGAAGTGTCCCCGTTACCAACCTGCTATATTTGATTTCAAGACACGGGTTAGTAGATAGTTATCATCATTTACTATGGAAACTACTCCTACGATTAAAATTGCTCTATGCGAACGAAACACATAAGCTCAAAATAAAAGTGACACGAAACATTGATGTTATTGTTATTTTCGAAAATTTCAACTTTATAAATTTTTTTTAAACATTCTTTAGAAGAAGCAACAGAAAATGACACATCATTCAACAATATACACATGCACACATATGACATCACTTTGATTTACATATTTCAGTAGAGAAAAAAATGGTTTTGTTAATAGTAGTATTGATTACATCCCGTAAATAGTTACAGCCCATAGAAAGAAAAAAGAAAATAACACAATCTAATAGGGACTGAAAGAATAGAAAACAACGACCAACGACAAATACCGGTGACATTACGGCGCTAAGTATACAATGAGACATCATATTTTATGTAGCCAGACATAGCAGAGTGAAAGAAGAAAAAGCGGAGGTGAGACAGAAAGCTACGATTCGACCCGCAAACTTTATTGATATTGTTGTTTATACACCACTTCACGCTTCTTCTCAACTTTACCATGTGACACTTACTCACTACTATTCATTGACACAATTATTGACTTACTTGCTTAATGATTTAAAGTACAGAAAAAAACTTTTTACAGATACTGTTTTAGTAATTCTTCTTGACAGCAAAACTTAATAGCTGAAATTGCAAATGAACTATAAAAATCGCCTTATGGTACAGAAACGTTGAATATTACAATTTTTCAACTAAAAAGTCTAAAAAGATGTACAGATTCAAAACTTGACAATCTTTTATTATAGGGAAAAAACCGATCGACTAAATGATGTGTTGACTCCCGTTCAATCAAAAAAAAAAAAATTTAACGCGTGACAGCCTGAAGTACATTTTAGTCTACAGGAGGGAGACAAGTGCTCAACCATTAACAATCAATATTGAGGATCCCAATGAGGGGAACTAGACGTCTCATTTCACACACCCAGTGAAATAACATAATCGAAGTCCAAGTACACATAAGGACTACACATATGTATTCAATGTACAAGAGTGATCACAACAGAAGACTGACAGTCGAATATCATCATTATAACTTGGTTGTAGATTGTTTACAGATATAGCCATGAAACAAATACGAATTGTATCAACAAGAAACTAGGGGGATAATATTAATTCACAGTAGCATTCGGCTGTATTAAAACAATCCACTAAGTATAGAATATTCAGCCTTTTGGAGTTGCATCAACGACATCAAGACATACGACAGAAGAATTAATATTATTTTCCAGCGATGACGAACAATGAATATACACTAAGAATAAGATAATGCTGCTAGTTTACCGCAGTGATGAGGTGAGTGGAAAAATAACCATTGATAATTATACCAGGTAACGTTCAAGCTGGATACGTGAAGTAGTTAACAACCCTGGAGTGAACTTATTCTTCTAATCATTTGAACAAAGACTCCAAGAAAAGTTTATGATACTATATATCACAATATTGTGTCAGAGAGTCGTTATTACTAACTTCAAGTATGTTGTAGTTAAAACATGTACAAATGACCCACAAAGTGTTGATCAAACTACTAGTTATTCAAGCTTCTATTGTATGAATTCTGAGAAAACAATTCGATTATAGCAACCATCAAGTCCAGTCTAAGTGAATTTCAAGCAACATACATCAAGCAACAAGACTAAATTCAAATAAAAATCCTTATGATAACAAAACTATGTGTATCATGTAACACAAGCATCTAAACCATGATAAACTCTGCGATACTGTCAACAATATCACCAACTAATGGTGTCATCGGATCAAAACAAAGGAATATAGAGTCCTGGAAGAAAAATTTGAAGTTCAAACTTCAAAAACTTAAGAACTAGTAAATTCAACTAACTTATGATAAAGTATGCCGGATTTCAATATCATGAATTCTGTCTACAAGCAGTGATTTCGTTTGCCCATGAATGGTGACCACTGTGCATCGGTGGCACAGTGGTTAGGACTCTCGCCGACCGTGTACATGGGCCGAGGTTCGATCCCCTGCGGGCGCACACCTCATATCAACGGTCGGCCTGTGAAATTCGGGCTACCGACATCACATACTGAAAATTCCATACTTGTACCAAAAATACAGTGTGGAATCAAGCTGTAATCAAAAATATAAAAAAGAACTTGAAGCTATACTGAATGATAATGGTATCACATATAATTAACATGTAGAATTATTACTAATATGAAAGTGCAACCAAATAGCGAATATTTACAAAACAAATATAATCAAACACGCCCTCGAAGTTGAACTACCTTCAACCAATATAAAGAAACTACGTGATTGTTTCTTCAAACTGATGTAATAGTTGTATTAATGGTAAAAAAAAGCTTCGTTTCAACTGAATAAAGTAAAATAAACACAGTTTAAACATCCTAATAACTCTAAGTGGGATCCACCAACCATGGACAGTTTGTATTAGGCAATAGGCCAGTCGTCCTATTCGGTAAGGGCTAGTGAAATAATCCGATAACCTAAACCCCTGTAGATGTAGTAAGTTTTAGAACTAATAGTTCACCTGTTAACAGATGACTACTAACACTGACAGTTTGCACGACTGCCAAATATTGTTGAGGAACCATCTTATTGTTCAGCCACTGAGCGAAACTCCTGTAATCTACATCTGCTGAATTATGCTTATCGACTTACAAAACAATGGGGAAAAAAGCTAGTGAAAAATAACCAAATTCAATGATGATAGATCATAAATTATTGAGACTAATGTATGTGAAAAAGAGATAGAATCTGGGATTCACTGAGTGAAAGTCGAATGTTCTAGGCAATAACCCACATCTGGAAGTATAAAATATGTAAATCAAGGAGAAAGAGAAGGAATAAATATATGCCGGTGAATGAAATGTTCACAGTTTTGAAAATGACAAGAAACAATATATCTGTAATATTATGGTAAGTTTTAATTCATATTATCATGAGTTCTAGTAATTATCGCTACCCCCCCCCCTCCAATTTCGAGTATCCGTCATCAGGATTTACGTCGACAGTCATAAACTTTATATATTAAGCGCTAAATCTTGATCTTATCATCTACCATCAACAATGATGTTACCCTAATAGCAACAAAGTTCCTACTAAACCGAAATTCTGTTAGGTTGCTTTAAAAAGATCTGTACACTGAAGACAAAACGCTATGTAGATTACAGACAGAAGGATTCACACATCACATTGGTAACATATTTACCACTAGATCTTACAGTCAACAAGTGGATACATGTTGGATTCATGGAATGGTACTGCTAAACAGGCTAAAGTGAAAGAAAATATATTCACAGTGCTTCTAGACTATTGATATTTGCTTTACTGATACTAATGAACGATGCAGAGATCAGTTAATATATGCGTCGAAGGTGAAGTTTTTACCAAGCATGCTCATTTATGAGGAACACTCATCCACACGTACAGTTGAAATGTTAAATGAACAATGTTTTAAATGTACACTGGATTTGAAAAAAATTTGAAGAAAGGTTTAGTAACTACAATAATCTGTAATAATATCAGTATCAGAGAACAGATAATATTGAAATAAAGGTTACCCAAATGTCTGATGATGTTACAGGACTGGACAACACTGACTCCTAGTTTGGAAATAGGGAATGAAGCGGTTGGTGGAGCACATCGACCGCTTCACTTGGGAAGTACCATCAGCCAACGCCAACGGGTTGAGCTCTGACGAAATCTCAGCTGAGTATGGATACAGAGGGCTAGTTCCGCATATGCCAGTTTACGCCGTCTCTGGCGTAGATGTGATATCCGGTCGGATATCGACCAAAGGGCGTGTGCACTGCTCATAAGTCCACTCCGTCAACCTTTATGGTTGTGAAACCTGGCCTTTGAGAGTGGAAGACATGAAAAGGCTGGTAAGCTGTCTTTGATCATAGGTGCCAGCGTTCTATCTCCCGTGTGAAGTGGTATAATACGGTGAGCAATATTGAGGTTAGGCGTCGGTCGAGTGCTAGGTAGGTGGGAGGGCTGTGAAGCTACATTGACTGAGATGTTTAGGACATGCATTACGTATTCCTAGTCATCGCCTTCCTCGACAATCGGCAATGTTAGCTGACATACAGCCAGTCTGGAAAAGAGCCAGTGGTGGTCAAACCAAAACGTGGCACCAGTCAATGAAATCCACAACAGTTAGTTTAAGCTAGCCACGTAGGAAGGTGTAGACTTCCCGACTCGTTGGGGTTCTCGGGACGGTGAAAACCAATGGTTAGAGACAATCGGTGATATGGCTCAAAACCGTTCTCAATGGCTGGCTGGTGTAGATGCATCCACTCCTTGTGATTTATGATTTCCAATGAAACTATATTGTTCTTCGTTATTACTACTCCTTTGTCTCACACCTCTGTTTACTGTCTCTATTATGCATTTCTTCTACTTCCTTCTGTTGCTTTGTGTGCTACATGGAGGGAGTGTGGCGACTTGAACTGGTGCACATCAGTGCAAAGTTCTATGTCGAAAACTCAAAGCTTTGGTAATGTACAGTAAATACATCTGGGCTATCATGAAGCACTCCAACTACTGATTCTCAACGTTCCAATGGTTGTATTAACTAGAGCACTCATGACTTTGCTGACGAGCTTTTTTGACCACCTCTAGCTATTTTTTAAGCTGACTACCTTTTATAAAGACTAAATTAGGAGACAGAGTTAATCGATTCAATTCCCACATTTAGTTACGATTTTATATGTTTACTCGAGTGTATTGACCTTTCCCAGTGGGAAAACGAATGACATCTAACGAACGCGCAGGCGTTTCGAGTAACAATGTCAGTGCCAACTGTTATTTTAAACAATAGAATAGTGGTAACGCCTTTAACTGTGACACCGACAGATCAGAATTCCAATATTTAGGACACACCAGTTTTTTAGAGGTTGAAGATGCGTCCTGATGGCAAATGTTAAGGAGTACGAAATTTATGCAACGCACAGTGTTTCGATCATTACCCTTAACCTTTGAAGAAATAATGAATAGTGTACAGATGATGATTGTACTCCAAGGGTAAACATAGATGGTCACCATTTATCGTCCCAACAACAAGCGGCACTGAACATCTTGCTCCACATTAATGCATACCCTCAACTAGTCAAAGCATGAATTCAAATTTCACACGAACTCTCAGTTTTTGAATTAAAGTCACAAAATCGAAAATATACAAACATCTAGTAACTTACTTTTCAGAGCTTCTATGATGCATTGTATTCGTGGAACCACCGACAGCATAAATCATATCATCGACTACGCCAACTGCAACCCTGTTACGGGGGACTGACATAGGAGCACAAGTAGTCCAACAGTTTTTTCTTGGGTCGTAACAATCCATATGAGGTGCATCGATATTACCTTGTTCATTATTATTTCTTCCTCCAACAAGATATACACAACCGCGTACAGAACATGCGGATAGACCACTACGTGGACTAGGAATATCTGGTAGACGTCGCCATTTAGCTGTGACCGGATTATAACATTCAAATGCACTCAATGAATATCGTAAATAACCACCAGCTGAATAAAGGATCTGAAATAAAAATGTTATACCTTTAACTTAAACGTTCGTCAGACAAAAGATGAAGAGAAAATTATGTAATTCAAATTCAGTGATCATATGCACAATCATCGACTAGACTGCCAACCAATAGTTGTGTGGAATGGGTGATTAAATAGTTGAAAATTCTATTTGTAGGTGGGAAAGTTAGACTTTTATTAACTCTAATTGAGATTGATTTGTTTCTGTCAAAGGTTCTGATGCACCAGTATTCCCATACTGCCTGTAAACACAAAAATGCTTTTCACTAGGATATTGAAATCTGCCACTAGTTTGTTTTTCACTATTCTGTTTTTTTTCTGACTGTGAGAGTATTGTTTAATGATTCTCTCTCTCTAAATATTCCCAATGAAAGCAAACCTAACTAGTACTAGCCTTTAACAGAAGCATCACATGACCGATGTATGCGTTAAGCGTAAGTAAAACAGACAAGTACATTATGAACTTTCAGTATCTGAAGTTTAACTGTTGATGTGCATTCCCATCTTCCAGCTCGCAGAAACGTGATATGTTAGGTGGGAGTAGAATTAGGTTACAAAAAAGTAGTGACTATACCAAGATATGTCAATAATTTATTGTTTTGACTTCCGTAGATCACTTGGATACGTTTCTTATGACAAAAACAATCTACTATTGGAAATTTCAAGTGATATGGCTGAGAATCGATTATACTGGTGCAGATGGATGCATACTATAACAGTAACTTTAACCATAAGAACATATTAGTTTACTTGTCTCGTCTCTTCTTTCATTTTAAAAGCATTTTGAGGCGTCTAACTGCATGATTTTCATTTATTATCACCCTTACCTTTATGTAAAACTTAGCCAGTTTGATTAGCATGAAATGATGTTAGATACAACAATAATTTTTATAATACTATCTGTCCTATTTGGTTTCTTTCAATTACAGTACAATTACGACGAATTTAAACAGCCGAAACTTTCCCAGTTTTTAATAGCATATTTTATAAACATTTTATTAATCAGACGAAACTCTTTAAGTAGTCATTTACACTAGACATTGTTAACCAGAGTCCTTATTCTCCAAACCATAATGAAACCAAACATATATTTGCACTATAGCTTATAGTAGTAGTCATAAATTCCTTTTATACTTTATACCAGAATTCAGAATCCCTACATGAATGTTCTCATATAACATTAGGAAGCTGTAGCTTAGACAGTCAAGACGAGATAGTATACTAAGTTGAGTTTGAACCGGTAAGAACTGCGTGGAAGCCAATTCTGAGCACAACTAGCCATGGCTAGACAAATCGACTCAGTAACTGCATATCTATTAATTACGGCTAAAGATGTTACATTCACTGAACTGGTATGATATACAAATTCATAATAAAGATTAGGAACGTAGTAAAGCCCTGAATGTCAATGTAGAATTATGCTAGAAGGAGTTTAGCACTTGTTTTCGAACAAAATACATATATTGCCGAGAAATGTACCAGGATTTACTTTGAATATGATCAATCTTCATGATTAGTGGGAAAACAAAACAACAATCGTGTCCAATTTCAAAATAAGATTTAATAACTGCAGATTTAAAGCTCTGAATAGGTTAGTTGTTAAGATGATGCAAACAAAAAGAACAAACTTGTGTTAGCTGTTTTCATAACTCGCAGTGAAAAGTGTTCTTATGAAAAAAGGGTTGTGTGGCATACGCAAACAACAGCTTACAATAACAATCAGCATAAGTCATCAAATGTTCATCAGCAAGGGTTGAGTTACTGAGCTATTTAGAGAGACGTTCAGTACTTATTGCTAGTAAAGATGTGAATCACGTGAGAAATTCATTTCAAGGTTGTCTGGATTTATACATTTTTAACGAAGTGGGCGTTATCGAAAAACGATAAGGTTACAACTAAAGGTAATGACTCTTTTGGTGAAATATGTGCACTGCCAAAGTGGTTTTGGAGAAAAAAAAATCATCTGTTAGGTCTAGTAAATCTCTATTTAGCATTTATGTTTATATCTAAAGTTAGATGTTGTTTCGGTGAATTACCAAAGAAACACTAAAGGTAGCAACAATAAATGTGTTGCATCTAAATTTGTGGGATATTCTTAGTACATAATTGACTGTTGTGACCATCCAAAGTATACGTGCACGACTCACTCCATATTGTGTACGTAAGTAGTTTTCCTCATTGTTTCGACTATTTATGCTGTTTTCTTACACCGGAATTCAAAAGAGTGCTTGTTTGTATTTACATAACATTCTGATAATTTTATTGCACTACATGCTAAAGCTAAATGTTCAAAGGTTTCAGCACTAATCTGAGTGACTTCTTTCGTGAACTTAGACGATGAATCAAGGGTGAAATATTCTCTTTCCTTACTTACAAAAGCACTTATGAATGAATAGGATCATGAAGTCATTGTTCATTGAGATCTTACTTCTTGACAGACCAGTTCGCAGAAATCTTGTTCCCTCGGTTCTTTAAGTTTATCTATGGCTCGTGAATTGGTGACGTTATCGGTTGTATAATCATTAGTTTGCATTGGAACAGCGTGTTTCTCCTAGAAATGCTCTTCAACCTGTATCTTTGGTGTGGATGAATCTTCGTAGTTTTTAGAATCGATGAATTCTCCGTGCTTCAGAAATGAAGCAAATAGGAATTCATCAATCAAAGGAGTTGGGAGTCGATCACATTGAACATCGACTCAGGAAAATTCCACTCAAACAAGTGACGGAGTTTCAACGTTCAAGAGCCAAAAATATACAATGAAACTGATTTGACTTCTTCGTAAAGTACACCTGAGTGATCGATAAAAGTTTAGGTGCTACTTAGGAAGTGTTCAGTATAATTCATTTACTACTTCAAAAATCTTTACCTTTGGACAAATTTGTACTAAACAACAATCATACCTTACAGAAATAAAACACGGACGTCAAATGAAGACTGGTGCAGACACTTGAATAGGACATTACAGGAATTAGATGAAAAGGTCTAGAAAATATCAATCTGAATAAAATATGTATGAAAACTAAATCCGGTCTATCTATAGTGAAAGGAAAGTGGATAGCCCAGAACTTATCGACCTTCCTAATAGTTACAAATAAGTTGCTGATCTCCAAATCACGTTAACACAAGACTTTTCACCATTAGACAAGATATCGACGAAATAAACAATTGACCCGTTTTATCCGGCACTATGTGTTGCCACTGCTTTGTTCACATTTGTTAAGGAGTTCATGTATAAATTATCAATAATAGTATCACGCAGAAGCTAGTCATTTTTACAAGATGCTTCTATACTAGCGTTTCGTTCATACGCAGGTGAGAGATAATTTTTTCAGCACACAAACATATTTTATCTGTAATTCTACCGAATCATGTTAAGTGCAAAATACACTTTGGACTCTGTTGCTATGACCACACTTGACTACTTTCATTTCATTAAAGTAACTATTTTCTTTTAGGTAGAGTATAGATTAGAATTATTTCCCCATATTGGTTGGTTAAATTTTCGTTTCGTAAGAATTGATGCTTTGGATTTAAAAAACTCTAAAATAACAAAGTTCTTCCTATCACAGTTGTCATTTTTATAACTTAAATGTATTTATACTGATGATGAGAGCGCATATAGTCTTAGTACCGGCTGATTGTCTTAAGTTCTTTAAATAAAACAACAGCCGTACTAACTAAAATAGTTTCATAGAGTCTTAACTGATAATAAAAAAATACCAAGAATTATTTCTCTTATATGCCCTTTAAGCATCAGATTTTAATTTGTATACTGTGTTCTGAATTAATTTTATTGGTTTTTTTATCAGTCATACCCAAAAATAAACAAATAAATAAAATAACTGGATGATAGTTTCTGAAAAATCCCTGATGTAGGAGAAGTAACTTCTCTATAAAATGTCTTGGTATTGTATAAGTTTCTAGATGTTTATTGGCGGAAACGATTCATGAGAGTTGCCTTGTACTCAAGACACAGATTTCATACATATGAATCTGCAGATAATTTAGAGGAGAACGAAAAAATTTAGATAATTGTCACAATAAAAAAAAATAATCAATAACGTACTTCCATTGAGCCAGCAGTCCGTTTGTTGACGGAAATATAACGGTGTTCAATAAGGTCATTCAGGATATTTTGCAAATGAGATTTTGCTGGAGTGAAACCTGCCAAAAGACTGCAATTTTTTATTTGTCCTTGTATAAATGCTGGAGGAAGTGTATAGCATCTGACAGCGGATAATGCTTCGAGCAATACAGGTAATCTAGCAGCTCTGTTGTGATTTATCCATCGAATCACTGCGTTGTACACCTCAGCTTCAGTCCGTACATTTAATTCATCACGTTTAATCAGAGCTAAAAGTTGGTTGGAATTTAAACCTAAAAATTCGTCATGTTTAACAATTTCCCCGAAATTTTGATCAATAAATTTTTGAGCAATAAATGATAAATCTGAACAATTATTAGAATATGCAAATTCTTGTATGCCAATAGCATTCGATGGATGTAACTGATGCTTCAGAAAACTACAGCACGCCTGTACAACATGGGACATTTGAATCATAGACGCAGCAATAAGTAATTCACAAACATTACGTTCACTAATCTGTATTCTACCAGTATACGCAAAATCTATCAATTTTTTTAAAGCAGTTGAAGATATGTAGTGCAGTTTAATTACAGGTAGAAGTGATTCACGCATTTCACTGGTGAACATAGCTCTGAAATATGGTGATGCACCAGCTAAAACAATTCTATGACACTGAATTGATTCTGAATTTACACACAAAGTGACATCTGTTAATTTTTGAGATTGAAATAATTCATACATAGCATTCATTACTTCTTTAAGATAATGGTTCAATTCGAAATCCATACAAATTAAATTATCATTTGATTCATCTGATGGACATGTAGGTAAAATGTACGTAGGATGTGGGATGTATAATTCGGAATTATTTAAATCACTAAACGATGAAGTTAAGTTAGGATTCATTGATGTAGAAAGCTCATCCATTGGAAAATCTTCAACATTCTCCTTCATGATCATTTTGACTGATGAATGATAAAATAATTCATTCACAAGACTGATATCTACAAGCAAATGAATAAAACATACAATTTAGTTAAGAATTTAATTACAAATAATAACGATTGAACATTTGTATATAATGCTATGAGACAGTGTTGGGACAAAAAACTGATGAGTTCAAAAAGAAAAACAATATAAAATTAATATTTCCGATAAGAGAGATGAGAGTAAATTAGAGAGAAAAGATAAAACAGCAGAAAGCAGATTATAGTGGGTGTATACTCAGCGGAGAGCTAAAGCAAACAATTTCGCGCTTAGTTAAGAAAAACACATTTAATAATTTCAACAATTTCTAAGTGGAAATAAACAAAGATGTCACTGAATACATATTGATTTATTGAAGTAGTTACAGTTCACATCATATTGGACTGAAGACAAAATGAGGGTTCACAAAGTGAATACTCGAAAATGCAGTAAAATATAATAAAGTTATGGAGGTAAAAGGAGTAGCATAACGGTTGATGAACTAAAGTTGTTCACGCAATGACTGTTTGAAGTCTTCACTGCCTTAATCTAATATTGAGAGACAGAAAATGCATCAAAAACACGTTTGGATTCCTACTCATACATGATAGTGAACTTTAACATTATGCAAGAAGTTGGACAAGACAGATGTTAGCCCCAGCTCAACTACCTTTCCCACACAGCAATCTGCCGAAGAGGTGTAATGATTTTCGTGATTTTTTTAAATTTTATATTCAAGTTACTAAAACTTGTTTGAAGATAAGTTTACCGATTGAAGTGTTGTCTGTATTCCTGTTAGAATAGAACTTAGGCCCTGTGGTAGGATATATTTCCATCGTAGAATAAATGTATTTGATAAAAGTGAACAGCGATACACTATTAATTACTGATGACGTTTAGAGCACAACTTATGGTTCATAATGATATGATTATAACCAATAAGTTTTGCTCTTAACCTCATCAGTAATACTATAACAATGTTCGGTCTTATCGAATAAATCCAATTAATGATGGAAGCTATTGACCTTCTTGGCTCCCTCCCCCACCCAAAAAAAGTACGCTGCAATGGCCCAATTACTCACACATTATTGCTAATGGAGACGAACAGTTTTGCGAAGATAGTAGTAGTGAGAAAAGTTCTATATCGTTAACACAAAACAGCCAACTCGTCAGTGTCGTTAATTGTATATAACATGGCAAGACTAGTTTCTCGACGAAGTCAAGCCAATAAGCCAGTGGATTCAGATGAAAATCGATTTGGACCTGGTGTAACGTTGACAGATGCTCGACTTCGGCTAGAGAATCCATAATACTCAATACATGGGCTCGTCTGATATCTTGTCCTGTGAACGAGTATCATTTTGCCAAGAATCCTTGCAAACTCAGACAAGCATAAAGGGACGAAATGCATGTAAATGCAGCTTGATGAGGTCGTGATACCTGGGCATGATTTGTTCGTCAGGCGTGATATACAACCGCATACAATTCGCAAGAACAAAGTGAGCCTACTTATCGGGTGTATTGTACTAAAAGGTTATCAGAGAGACAAAAGGAGAGGATACCTGTAGGAAACGACGACACTGCCTGGTTGGACATTAAGAGGTGCCAGATTGAGAGCAGTCGTAACGTGCCTTGTCAAAAGAGGTAATACAGAGGTAGAAACTACGACTCGTGGTGTATATAAAAAAAGCCTTACATCAAGTTTTATCAGAGATGAAAGAGCAGTTAAACTGACAGAAGTTTCTCGCGTGTACAAAGATGAACAATTCGTCATAGGCTCTAGATTTACGTAGTTATCATCATTCATTGCTTAAGAGCTGTGCTCAAAGATTTCAAAAATGGGAAGGATGATAGCGTATTACTGTTACACCATATAGACCACTCAAGCTTTGCAGCCTTTACGAAACACCATTTATCGCAAAATACCTTATTATACTAGTTTGAATTTCAACGCAAATGTAGGTAAGTTGGTAAACATGTCATTTTCGAAAACATTATATGAGCTATTTTTAAATACAATTAAAACCGAAGGCATTACTTTAAGATAGAAATTTATCCCACCGAATTTGAAGAATATTTCTGAAGTAACACTTAGTATACTGAGACCATTCGGAGTAGATATCACACGTATAACCAACACAATCACTTTAATCACTACTATGCAAAGTAAAACACCCAAAAGCAAAAAGACTGGGTTCATATCACATACAAAATAAATTGCATCAGTTGAGAAAAGTGGACACTTTGACTTCTCATCCAAGAACAGAAACTGACCGTTAAGACGTACGACATGTATTCCATCATTTTAATATATACACAACTATAGACATCTGCCTGACTGTGAAAATGACGAAAATTTCGGACAAACGAAATATAAGTGGCCGAGAATTCCTGGTACTCAGGTAAGTCTTCACTTAACCATATCATTTAGCCAAATTAAGAAACCAATAAGTAACAAGTCACATGTCGAAAATTTTCAGAAAGTCCAAAGTCCAACTATTGATACTAACGCAGATAAGTGCAAGAATAAAGAAATCTCTGAAGATAAACAATCGCAGACATGATCGCCAAGGGAGGCAGTGCATTAGTTACGGAGTATCCGGTAGATCAACTCACATTGAAGCGCTGCATACGCTACTGAAAAGGAAAACGAGCTTTTCTACTGAATAACTCAGCTCGTAGGACGCAGACACATGAAAAATCCATTTGAGCTACAGATCTTTTACACTACTCAAGTGGATAGAGACGGCGCCTCTTCAACAGTTGCTTCCCCAGTAGACAAAGTAAGACATGATGATACATCTGAGATCTAATTTTTCCCTAACCAAACTATTACTCAGTATGCTTCGGGATAAGATATGAGTCACAGAGGGATTTGAAGAGTCACGTTTTCATTATAAGACTCGCACTCAAGATACAACAGACGAACTAAGGGGAAAGCGAATTGTGAACCATGCTCAGGTAAGATTGTGAAATGACCAGGAAGTACTATTACGTGAAATGCAAACATGACCCTTGTTTACGAGCTACTAAGACGTCAGCAAACAGAGAATCGTTCTGCTATTGCACTTCTTAAGCCACAGTTTCGTTCACTCTACGTGGCTAATAAGTCTCAATGTAAACTACATGTTGACAAGCTGTTGACATGTCTAAAATTTATTACGGAACGATGTGAAGACGAATCTCTGTGGCAAGTAGTGTAACTTTTAGAAGTAAACATGGATACAACAAAGTGATGTCAATACATATTTGAAAAGTTTGGTGGATGAGGTTGCTGTAGTAATTGTAATTGGAAAGTTGCGACCCCCTCCCCCATATATCAACAGAACTGAGCAAAACTATCTGCTTCTCCAGAACAGCTATGAGAAGCAAATAGACGCAATAAACCGATCATTTGTATCTCGGAGCTATCTAACAATTTTGTTTAATATGCCCAGGCAAAAAAATCGTTTCATGATTTAGATGGGATATAATCAACAACCGACCAAAAATGTATTAACTACGTCTAATGGTAGTGCTTCTGAGATCTTGGAAACAAATGGAAACTAACCCAGTGAGAAATTCGAAACATAAAATTAAGGCTCAAAAACCAAACTCAGCGCTGTTACTTCTACAACCTATCTAAGGCTATTAATTCAAGTGACAGAATAGTTAAACAAATATTCACATTCAAACATCAAGAAAGCAAACTTTCGATCGTGTTATTAAGTGACGAAAGAAAGTATACGGAAGAAATAAAGATTACTGTCCTGAAGGTAACTTCGAATAAGATATGAAGATAAGTGTGTAGCAGTAGATAATTCTCCAAAATTATTGGCCTGCAGCATTCATCACTCTGAATTTTATGCTGACCTTAACTGATTAAGCCGGCCTGTTTTGATGAAAGCTCGCGGTTAAGCATCTACTCTTTATGTCATACCATCATCTTACGTTCGGTATTTCGTGCACGATCCCTGACTAGTTAGGTACAGAACGATTTTGATCCTGAAATATACCTCGAAATTCGGGTGGTGAATTTGTTGTTTAGGTTTGATTTTGTCCAGGAGGAATGAATACCGAAAGAGTTGAGAGCATAGTAATTCGCGCTAGTATACGCAGTACTTTCCGTGAATCTCAACACGGGAATGCTCTTAGGATTTATAGTGGCTCTACTGCATATCCCCGATGATTTAGCGTTGTATTCCATTGGTATGTTGCCTCAGTAAAAAATTACACTTTTTATATCCTGTTTAAGTGAAATTTTGGGTTAGAAAATGTTTCCAACGTACATAATTTCGGTGGCATATTGTTTATAACTGCATTACATTCGCTGAACTTGCATCAGGAAATGTCGCTTGATACTGGCATGTGTGCTATGTGATGGATTATATAAGGTAAGACGTTAAAAGGTTAAACGTATATTTTGAGTATGCTCCGCCTATTTAATGAAACGCCACTATCCTAATTGGTCTGATAGTAGCTGTCACTCATGGCACAATTTTAGCACCAATCTAAGTTTTCCTTTACTCATCACAATCTGCTTATCATATTAGGGAAAAACCACCAGCAATATGGACATAATATGTAGCATTGTTGTGAAATTGCGTTTCAAGTGGCCTTTACTTTGAGGGAAGATTTAACTGCTAAAATATTCCGATTTCATAGACATAAAATAGTCTGATACGCGAAAAAACTTATTATCTTGGTTGGAATAAGGACTAAAACTGAACTGTGAGGGGACTCATATTTCCAAGAAGGCTCATTTTGCAACTATCGTCCTTATTTTAGTTCGATTTCATCATACAGATATAAATGGAGTTGTCTGTCATTTGCATCAGGAACTTGACAGGGAACACTCTCGTCAACTAAGAATGTGCTGATGATATTTTCTACCTAGGTTGCGAGAAGTGATCGCTGAATATGACAGGTATGAAAATACTACTGGTGTTTGGTCGTAGGTGTGTAATGCACCTTGGACCTTTGGATTTTTTTTCAACGCATTCACCCACTTTTGG